CGCGCTACAATAATACTGTCTAATCGGTATAATTTTATTATCTACCGACCCTATAATAGTAATTGGGCGGCACTAATTGCACACATTGGGGTGGGGGGGGAGTGAAGAGGACGTGAAACTTTGATGAATTTACCTCAGAGTCGCGTGTTAATGTGTGCGCATATTTTTAACGGGAATTAAAAATAAAAATGGCGTCCATTCCGCAGCGAATGCGTCGCTACCCGTTGCCAGGGGCAACCGCCGTCCAATGAAACTGCGTATGGTCCGGCGACACACACACACACACAGACAGACAGATAGACAGACCGACAGACAGACAGATTTGCGATTTTATATATATAGATAGAATTCTTACAACATCAGAGTGCAGCACAACATTAAATACGCACTACAAATGTCACTACACAATGACAATGTTTAAAGCGATTTGAAGAATGTTTTATTTTCAAAATGGAAATATGGTTTTGGGGGGGGGGGGCAGAGCTTTGTGACGCCGTGTTACGAGGGGGGGGTCAAAAATCGTCCAAAATCGCGTGACGTCTTTATGGACGGCCCCTTTGTTAAAAAGTAAGCGGGCTTTGGGCCAGATGCGTCACCGCAGGAGAGGGATGGTGACCACTTCGTCGACTCATGGCGGAGTGGCAGCCAGAGAGGGACGGACCGTGCTCGGAAGGGCGTTCACACGAAGAGGTGCAAAGCGATGAGAGCGGCTCGCATGCAGGAGGAGCTGGATGGATTGCTGCAACCTGACACATCGAGAGATGGCGACGGCGTGGTGAGGACTTCATCCTCCTGTGGATCAGGGACGTGCGGTCAGGGGAGGCAAGGGAGGCAGAGCCCTCACCTGTCATACTCCAATGAAAATAGCTGTTACGAAAAGTAGAAAAAAAAGAATAATCAAATAAAATAAATATTCAGATTGTTCCACTGATCTGTTATAAATGTAATTTCTGTACGATTCCAATCATTTTATAGTCAAAATCCCCAAATTTGCAGGAGCTCCACTGCAAATACAGGAAGAGATGAGGTGAGGCAGCGACGAGCTCAGCCTCCCCTCTGATTGCGCAACCCCTGAGAAACTGGATGGAGCGCGGGCAATAAGTGCTTGCCTGTTACTATCTCAGTATGTCACCAATGTGTAATAAAGGACTTCGCCGACACACTGCTTGGTCTCCGTCACTCTTTATTCCCGTTGATGCTCGCACTCCGCTGGTCCCGACAGCGGACCAGCTGCTTCTCGCGTGTGCCCCGCACGTGCTCTCCCGTCAGTCGCTCCGCTCCCCCGCTCCTGCCGACGGTGTGCTCGAAGCTCCTCCAGCCACGTGGCTGATGGCGCGGATCCCCTCCGGCCACCCAACGTGGTCCAGCTTCGTGACTCTACCAACTGACCCGGAGCCCTTCCGGGATCCCACCTATATTCCCTTCACCACGTAATCCTGTCTCCTCCCTCTCACCACGCCCTTCACCGAACCTTCCAGATCCGGCCTCCGCATAGCGACTTGCTGGCTCCTCCTTTAGGTTCCGCCCCTGCTCACCTCGCATCCAATTGGACCCGAGGTGAGCGGCGGACCTTCACATACACCCCCATACTGGGCCCCGCCCCCCAATACCCTGGGCCGTATGATTGGCCCAGAGCCGAGCAGCGAACCCCGCTTACGCTCGCATTACAAATGTAATGTTTGTAGACTCCTTCATTTCATGTCCTCCAGGTAACTTATTTCCCGTATGTGTATAAAGATATTTAGGCTCGCTGGTCTCGTCATAAAACTGCAATGAAAAAGCACCAGGGGAGGCAGCTATCACATCTGCCTCACTGAGGGGGACACGCCCCCTCAGTGAGGCCACGCCCCCTCAGTGTGTGAATCTGGCTCTTGACACGAGCCAGTGCCTCACCAACCACACGTCACTGCTGTGGATAGATCATGGCTGACGATGCCGATGAGCTATTTCAGTTCCTCAATCCAATAGCCGCAGATTGGAATCGAGACGTGTGAGAAATGCAAGTGAAGTTTTCCTTCGCTTTGTACGGCTTCCATTTGCGTGCGTTTGCGTACATGCGGCGAACCTATTTCTAGTCGCGATATTGTGTGCTTTGACTGCGCTCATCATGCGGCTGTGCGGTTGGACGTGAGACAACATTGTGGACAGTACCGTGTGCGCTCCTCGGCAGGAAGCCGCGGTTAATTTTTTTTTGGAACGCATCTACCGCACAAAGCGAGGGAAACCTGTCAATCGCCTGTGGGAACTCAGGATACTCATTAGTAAAAGAATCCCTGGTTTCACATTTCTCCGTTTTCATTTAAATTGTAGTGTAGAGCAGCAACGCATGACTCCGCTGTTGGCTCATTTCAATACACGCCCACGACTCCTGAAATGTTTGCCCAGGTTATTGGTTTTGCTCCGAAATTAATTTGACGGGGCAATGCGATATGGATCTCCGGGCTATTCGTTCTCATCCCACGTGCACCGAAAGCAGGAGGACCCTCGTGGAAGACACGGGGAGGCGTTCCTGGGGGGGTGGGGGGGGGACGTTGGCATTGTTTTCACAAAAGCAGTGCCACATCATTATATATTCACAAACCCAGTATTTATATATATTCCAAAGGAAGCAGATGGGACATCATGCTCATTAAGATGGAGAGATTGTGTCAATAATATACCTGGAAGAACGAAAACAACCTTCGCTCGGTTACTGACAGATGGTCGAATTTGCGAGCACCATTCAGCAGAGAAGACATGTAAATGCAAGCAGGTCGATTTATAATACAAAGGTCCAAATTAACATTTTTCACAGAAGTATGGCAAAGACAAACAAGACAAAGATCCCCCGTATAGCCTTGACAGACTGTTGGAGCAAGTGTACTTAGCAAGCACCGATGAAGGCCTGGCAGGGCACACGAAGGAGGTGGGGTGGCCAGCACCACGCCTTGTCTCCTGAGTGGCAATATTTTTAGGCATCGTATCATATACTCATTTGAGGCTGAGCCGATGTAGAGGAGGTCCAGAATCGGTTGAGACAATTGTCACTGGTGTTGGCCGTGAGCGGGAATCGAACTCGGGTGGCCGGGTTCATAGCCCAGCGTGCTAACCGCTACACTACCACTCCCCACATTAACACACACAAGCATGTATACAGATCACGAGTGCGTGTTTACTTGGAGTTTGCATATTCACTCAATCCAATTGGTTCTCTAAATTCGAGTTGAGAATGCAATATTTTCTTGTCCGGTTTTTACCATCTCAATCTTTATTTGAAGCTTTCGTGACTGCAGGAATCCATACTCTGTGGTTCTTTCGGTAAAGTCACATAGGTAGAAAATAAATCACGACGTTTCGGGCGCAACACATGATGGACGCTTGTGTTGCACCCGAAACGTCGTGATTTATTTTACGATCTTTTTTACCATCTCGTTTGCATTGATGATACTATTGTTCTGGTTTCGTTATACAAGTTTCGTTTGTCCCAAAAGCCCTGGCATAACATTCGTTCCTTTCATTTCTCAATCCGCTTGTCCTGGTGGAGTCGTGGCAGTCGCATGTTGAGCAGGGTGGTCCAGACCTCCCTTTCCATGGCGACGGACTCCAGCCCTACATTACCATACACTACACACTACTATACACATTATACACTACTATACACTACACTATACACTAATATACACTATACTATACACTAATATACACTATTATACACTACACTATAAACTACACTATACACTACACTACTATACACATTATACACAATGCACTACACTACTATACACGACACTATACACTACTATACATTACACACTACTATACACATTATACACACTATACACTACACTATACACTAATATACACTATCCACTAATATACACTACACTATAAACTACACACTACTATACACTACACTACTATACACAACATTATACACGACAATGCACTACACAATACACTACACACTACTATCCACTACACTATACACTATTATACACGACACTACTATACACTACACTACTCTACACTACTATACACTACACAATACACTATTATACACGACACTACTATAAACTACACGATACACTACACTACTCTAGCTCCTCCTGGGGGATTCCCAGGTGTTCCCAGGCCAGCCGAGCGACAAAGTCCCGCCAGCAGCAGCGTGTCCTGGGCCGGCTCCTGGGTCTTCGCCCAGTGAGACGTGCTGCCCGGTAGAGTTCCAGGGGGAGTCTACTCGGAGGCATCCTTAGGGGCCGTCCATAAATTACGTCACGCACATAGGGGGGGGTCAGACATTTGTGACGATGTGTGACGAGGGGGGGGGGGGGTTGAGAAATGTGACGTCACATCAAAATGTGCAACTTTAAATATAGACAACACGTTCTACTTAATTAAATATACTTTTTAATAAATGTTTTCTCCTACAACATCAGAGTGCAGTGCCACATTAAATACGCACTACAATGACAATAGTTTAAAACGATTTGAAGCATGTTTTATTGTTTTGGGGGGGGAGCAGAGCTTTGTGACATCATATTTGAGGGGTCTAACTTTTTGTGACGCCGTGTGACGAAGGGGGGGGGGGGGGTTAAAAATCGTCCCAAAATCGCGTGACGTCACGGAGGGCCCCTTACTAGGTGCCCGAACCACCTCAACCTCTCGATTCAGAGGATCAGCGGCTCTCCGAGATTACCGAGCTCCTCGCCCCATCACAGAGAGTGGTGAGGCCCGGCAACTCTGCGGAGAAACCTCATCTCGGCACCTTGCACCCGCGATCTCATCCTTTCGGTCATTACCCAAAGCTCATGGCCGGCCATAGGTGAGGTTGGGAATGTAGATCGACCTGTAAAGCTTACATAACACGTGTAGATCATATGCATCAATATAAACAATCCATTCAACACGATTGTTCGATCGCTGCTAAAATAGCAAGACCAAAAAATCACACGTGGGTAAAATCGTCACGTAATTTGTAGTGTAACGTCGATGAGAAATCAAGCGCAAAAATACCAATCCCGCATTTTCTATTCGTCTTTATTTTAACTTTTGTTGTGATCCACACAGATTCACTTTCATTTGACAATTCGTCAAACTAGACAACAATGATCAAACGCAGCATCAACCTGTGCCTCTAAAGATCACTGCCCATTCTCTCTTTTTTTATAGCTTCAACACAAAAGATGAAAAAATGTAACCTTCACAGTGTTTCCATTATGGTACCACTCAGCACAACCTCAACAATATCTCAAAGACATGAAGGCAACACGTAAAGTACGTTCGGCAGGAAAGCCTTGGCATTTTGTTGCATCAAATCTCAGTAGTTTACAATGGTGTGCCACAATAAAACTGCAGAAGCACAGCTGACGCGGACAAATGCTGCTCATGTTTTCATTACCCTTCCATATCCTTGCAGCAGAACATGTGGGCACAATGGCTTCAGCAACCAGCAACAGCTCGGAAATCGCTTTAAGGATTTGGCCATTCTGTTTCATCCCACGTACATGCCACGCCGACTAAGGCCTCACTTGTACATTCGGTCCCCATAGCAACGTGGTGATCGCTCTGCTCCTATGGACTCGTGTGCTCCATTTCATCCTTTGGCCAAGGAATTGTTGCGAGTGATTTTTTTGTTACAGCTTAGTTTTGGCGGGTTTTTCAACCATACCCAATGCGCAGCTTGCGCTCACAATGGCAAAATTTGGTGGGCAATGCCGATGCGACCCGTGGATTCGTCCCGTGCAGATGCGCGGTGGCTGTACGCATCAGGGCGCACGGTGTGCAGGATAGCAATGGCCATTATAGCATCTTTTTTTCTCCTTCAAAGCACTTAACAGCGTCCACATTAAACATTTTGACGCTTGGCTCATTGATATTAAACGGAAGAAACAATAAATATTGCCAATCGTTCTTAAGAGGTTATTGCAAATGAGTCCCATCGTAAAAAATCATTGGTGCTCTGAAAGTCGGTTTGATCCCCCTCCATTCTAATGTAAATACGCCATGGAGAGGGTACCATACCCCATTGTAAGCCCATGTCGGTGCTCTACCTGATTAAAAACACACACATTCGACTCATGGGCACAAACTTCACGCAGAGCCCCATGGCACAATGGTAACTAAGTAAACAAAGCACAGTTGTGTGTTGCACACTCCCAAAATTAAGCCATCATTGTTCAATTATTATGTCAATTAGTGTTTGCCTTTATTGATACTTCCCTCCTCCTGTGTTGGGTACGAGACGGTCGTTTTGTATTTTTCGCGGGGGGTGTGGGGGTGTCCGGTACGATTCGGCATCTCGTGAAAGTGTGGCCGACGAATCTTGCCTTGCCGACACCACATCACACAACCCCGTCGTGACCCCCCCTCGCCTCCACCCCCTGGATTAACGGTGGCGCTAGTTCCATCTGTTCGCTTGATAAGAAAAACAGATCAAACTACAAAAACAACCTGAATAAAGAGAGACATTTGTTTTGTTTTTTACCGAGCTGAATATGCACAGCAACCCGGGAACCTTCGTCCCTTTTGCTTATTCACATCTGCAAGAGTTGAGTAAAAAAGAAACTACTTTAATTACATAAAACGTATCCAAATAAAGCACGCAAACCATTTGGGCGAATGTGCACACTAATCGCGCGTGCGAGTGTGTGTGGTTTGTTTTATGCATCCGGTAATTCCCGTAAAAAGGGAAACACCTCGCATCTGAGAGTTGATGCTTAAGGTTCGTACAATCCGGTGGTGTGTATTTGACGATCCGGTGGTGGGTGTGTATTTGACGATACGGTGGTGTGTATTTGACTGCATCCGCGTTTGCCGGACTGTAAACGGCACATGCACCAAGTTCCTCCCGACTGGAGCGGCTCCGCTTACACCACACGCGGAAAAACACCGACGTCGTCGTCTATGTACAAGTAAAAAAAAACATCAGGTCGCGCATCGCTAGCCTCGCGATGCCAAGGCCGCACGAGCGACACGGCGTGCGACAGAAGCAGCAGCAGCTGCTCTTTAGGCGACGGACATAAAAAAAAACCTGACGAATACTTCGGTAATTTCTTCACAATTTTTGGGTTTTTTATTTTATTTGAGCGAATCGTTGCGTTTCGTTGATCGCAAACGGAGTCGTCCGGCTTCCAGTCCATCGACAGCCAAAAACGGATGTATATACTTGTCCCGAACGCCGTGGCTGCCGGCGCGTGAATGAAACGCCGCTCTCCTCTTGAGCCCATTGCAAAGCCCCCATACGCCTGCACGGTTTCCATGAAAGGGGGCCGACTGGACGCGACCCCCCCCCACCCCCGTTGATCAAACACAGATTTTGGCCCCGTGCTTAAAAGTTGCACTGTACACAAATGGCTTTTGGAAATAAGAAATTATGACCACTTCAATAGTTTGAAATGTTCACGAAACTAAACTTTTTTTTTGTTATCCCTTTTAACATTATTTTCTGTTTGAAACTCTTTGGCATGAATAAACCTGTGACTTGAAAAGAAACTAGATAACGAACTAAACGAAGCTGCTGGATGAAGTGAAAACTGAGCCCAAAATCAGACCATGTCTTCCATGACCTCAAGGACGATTGTGCTAGGTCCCGTCAGGATGAGGTTGCTCAGGGTGCGGTAGTCGAGAGATAGAACGTTGTGCCCGTTCACCGACACCACAAACTGGCAAACCTGCACGGCCGCAAAACAGTAAACGCGACGGCATCAGAGTTGGCTCCAAACACAAAAAACAGCGCCGGTGTTCTTTTGCATGCACACGCGTGATCTTAAATATGCGCGCGTGAAATTACTCTGCTCGTTTACAGAGTCTGGAGAAGTGCCAGCTTCAGTGTGATATCCCACACGGAAGTGAGAAAATACAAATGTACATTGCTTTGCCAATCGACTGCAGGGAGAAGGCTACCCTCCCGATGGTTGCCAGTCAGGGAGGTCGTTTGACCTATACTTCACAGCGGAGGTCAGTGTGGGTGGGTGAAATGGCCGATGTCGGCCATGGCTGGGAATCAACCTCGGGCCGCTGGGTTCAAACCGCAGGGCCGCAAGCCGCTCCACCCACGTGGAACTCTCAATATCGTGATTGCAGTCAGGAAGCCATCCTAGCTTCATGACTATTCAAGGAAGCGCACGTGAAGGAGCATCTGGAGATTCTAAGGCTCAGCACACATTCGTCAACCACGCGAAGCCGGGAGTTTGTTTCGAGTGTGTAATGTACACCGTCTAAATGTCAATAGGCGTCCCCATCCAGATCAATATCAGTGATAAATCCGCACCCCCCACCCAGCCATTTTTATCTCCGCAGTTATTTTGCTGTAACAGGTGCTTGTATTTGGCCGAGTCAACCTATGAGAGGCGTGGAACCGGTTCACAGATGCCACTTGTCGGTGATGTGCATGGCTGGGAATCAAACTCGGGCCACCGAGAGTTAAGATCAGTGCGCTAACCGCCACGGCATGGCTCACACTCGCTCACACGGGCAAGCACACACAACAAGATCTAATTAACACTTGAATATTGGACGGCAAAAGCTCCAGGTACCTTCATGCCAGCTGTGGCCGCGGGCCCGCTGGGATCCACAGCCTGGATGTGGCACGGTTGAGCTCCCCGCACCACGAACCCCCAGCCAACTGCATCCCCCAGCACCTGCACGAGCCACCATAAAAACGACAAAGACCCCCCGTGTTACAGCCTTAACAGACTGTTGGGGCAAGTGCTGTTAGCGAGCACCTTTCAAGGCTGGAACGGTGTACGAGGGGCTGAGTGGCTATGCGCAACGCCCGGCCGGCTTTGTCTCCCTAGTGGCGATATCATCTGTCCCTCCTGTGTAGGATAGAGTATTGTCCCCTTGCACGTGTGGGTTTTCTCCAGGTGTTCCAGTTTCCTCACACGTGTCAACTCATTTAAAGGCTGAAACATTATTTATAGGACAGCAGAGCTTGGGAAATTGTTGGTAGCGCCAGCATGTCTGTTGGTTGCTCAGCAATTGAGAAGCAATTTGCAGGAACGACTCAATATATATAAAACCAAAATAAACATCACATGCAATTAAATTCCTAGTCAAACACAAGATTATTTTTTTCTGGAAGCGTTTGCACATTTTTGTAACATCTGATAAAAAACACTTTGAAATCGAATAAACACCGCCCATTCTACACATTCTAACAAAATTGCTCACTGGGAAAAAAACATTGTCTGGAGTTGTCCTCAGCAGCAAACATTGTTGTAGCCAATAATACCTCTTCGTTTACTCACCAAACGGTACGTCGTGCGCTGTTTTCACCCGTCTGTCATTCGCTCGCTCACTCATTCGGAACAGAAGATACTGGCGTTATCGTGCACTGTATCCACCGGCCATTCATCCACAGCAGACAACCCTGTTGCACGCACCGTTCCGTCCATCTCCCATTCACGTTGTCATCCCCGACTCACCGTCAATGTTTTCTTGAGAAAGGGGGCGCCCGCCATCAGCAGTTCCTCAACAGACACGGGACGTTTCAACACTGTGGCAACAAACAAGAAAAATGGGAACAAACAGAGCCGTTGTTTTAAAGAGACAACCTCTCTATCTATCTGCACACACATATACCACACACACAGACGCAGAAGTTACGTAATGAGCTCACATTTTTCAGTGGTCGAAAAAAAACACCGCACGGAAAAATGCGCGGCACGCCAATCCCCGCGGCCGTTGTTTGAATGGTGCCCACTGTACGAGGAGGCCATGAGCTCGTGAAAGGAGAAAAAAAAGCGCGACGCGAACGAGTCCCATGGTGGGCGATCGCTTGCACGGGCGGAAAGTCGCCTCTCCCCGTGAACGCATGCAATGCACACCACCATTTTTTCTGCATTCTGCCAAATCGCACAAACATACGTTAATCCGGGCCCCACGCTTTGGGTTCACGTCGGCAGGTTCTTTACGTCTAGGAATGCGTTCACTCGAAGAGGAAAGGTGCAGTTTGGTTTGCGCTAGTTACCCGATCAAACATTTATGGACATTTTTATTTGAACAGCTGGAAAAAGAGACGTAGACGTAGCAGCCCCCAGCTGCTGCAAGGGTCACACGCGCACACGACATGTGCGATTCGATGCGTGTACCGCGAGCTGATGAATCAACGACTCAGAGTGCTTGGCACGAGCGAGGCACTTCCCAGTCAGCATGCGAGCTGCATTTCAAGCTCCCGCATCCAGCGGGCTTCTATTAATCCCGAGCGGAAATAAAAGGAGATATTTTCTTGTGTGGTGACGAACTTATACACAATGCCTGTAAAGTGCACTGTGAGAGCAAGCTTAGCTTTTAAAACGCAGCTGCCCCCCCCCCCCCCCGTTGCTTGGCTCGACGAATATTTGTACATTCGGCGCGCATGATTGGCCGGCGACATGAAGGCGATATTTTTTTAGTTCCACCGCGGGATCCAGTCGGGGGTTATCGATCGCGACGAAGCCTGACGCAACACACAGTTGTTGACAGCGATGAGGTTTTAAACGAGGGATCGTACCTGACCGGGGCATGTACAGCATGGGAGGAGGGCTGCTGCTCAGGTTCAGGAGGGCATTCCAGTAGCCGTTGCTGGTGCTGCTTGTGCTGCTGTTGCTCATGCTGTTGCGTCTCAACACTATCTCCTTCGTCGGATTCGCTGCTCGACGACACCACGCAGCCGGACAGGCAAAAATGAATTAGCGTCGCGAAAGAAAAGGCACCGCGTGTCACCGTGAACTTAGCGTGCACCGCAACGAGTCATGACTGTGTTTGAAGGCTCAAATGTCTTTTAAGTATTTTTTTCTAACCGAGGTTTTAACTTCATACTTTGTGTGCCAATGGCATCACTGCAATGCGACGTCGGAATTTTGCGCCCGAGCAGCGCTGAGAAAGCTGCACTTATACGATTAAAATGATTAAGCATTGAGACAACTGCGGCAAGATTAGGTCTGCCTGACCGGTTTTACACACTTGTACAAGTGGAAATGCTTCTTCCCTTGTCCTCTGAGCAAAATAAGCGCAGATGCTCAGAGCGGGTCACATGTCTTTTTTTTTACTGCCAGAAGTGGACACATGATGCTTGTGCATAATAATGAATGAGTCTCATAATACAACAATTTGGATTGCGATCTTCTGCACAAAATGTAAAACACTAATTCATGGAATTGGCCAAACAAAAAAATTGCAGCACTCCCTCCTAAACAACAGAGAATTTTAAAGTCTTCTCTCCTGGGCAAATGGCATTATTGTCGTAAGTAGGAATGCGCAGGGATAACTGGAATATAGATTTATTTTTAGAAGACTTGTCTGCCAGGGAGAAGACGTAAGGTGTGGAATACAACAAGTCGGTAGAAGAATGTACGACACCACCAGCCACAAACATGTTGTCTTGTAATGGTTTGAAAATGTGCGACTAAATGTGAGCAACGACAAGAGACGGAGTCAGTTTCTCTCTGTAGTGGCTTCATTATATTTCAGTTTTCCAACCATAATAATATCGTTTGAGGAGTTTTCTAAAAATACACTGCGATTTGTGTCATTATAACTTGCCAATTGTTACTGGAATTCCATCGACTAAACACAGCCCCGTGGGATTAGTGTCAGATGACAATATATTTTTAGAGATTTGCCAAAAAGGTTGTTTTCTGTTATGTATTATTTTCCTCAATAGCCATTTGTAGATTGGCTATATGTTTAAAATAATGAAACACTAAATACTTTGATTCTCACCCTAACCAAGGTCCCAAGTGTCACATGACAGTTACTTTTTCGTAATTGTGGCTAATAAAAATGAAAAAAAAACTAAAACACAAGGTTTAAAAAAAAAATTAAAACCAACGACGCATATAGGTCTCATTAAACGCATGCAACCCATATATAAACTGGCCCAACAAAACAATAATACGACTCTGTGCCAATCCACTGCTTGGATGAGGGCCAACAAAACTCTGCGTCAGTCATGGGGGTGGTTAGGCCCTACTTCACCACGGTGGTCAGCGCGGGTTTGGCGAAGGCGGGGAGAGCACAGCTGCGGAAGCATATGAAGTTCAGGGTGGCAACTGAATCTGATTCACTGCCCTCTGCTGCCCAAGGAGTAGCCCCGCATCTGCCCTATCACGACCTATTTGCGTGTGGCGGTCACCCGTCCAACACTATTCCAGGCTCAACCTCTGCCGGTCTTCCTACATCTGCCGAGTTCGGGCGCACCGTGGGTAATCTGTTCGTGGAAGCAACACAAATAAGAATTGAGCAGGGCGAAAGAGAAGAAAAAAAATCCAAATTCACAACGGTTTGTGAATTTAGATTTTCCTTCTGGTTTTTTTTCTTTCAAAGTAGACAGCCGAGGCCTTGGCACAGAGCTCACCCATTAAGAAGCAGGAGAAATCGAAGCGGCCCGACAGCAAGTGCTTGCGCAGGATGATGTGGCTCTCTCTGGTGGGGTTGGGCCGCACCGTTCGCATCCCGGGCACCAGGTCAGTGACCAGATAGTCCTGCTGGAAGTCGAGATGGAAGAAATAGACCAGGTTCCTGTCCAGGAATTGGTCTGCCGGGGAGACTGCGGCGAGCCACAGATACAACCAACAGCCGAGGGTGGGGTGTGCGTGCGTGCGTGGGTGGGTGAGTGAGTGGGTAGATGTGGGCCAGCAAGGGGAGGGCAGACGGGGTGGTAAGGGAGGGAGGCAGATGGGGGGGGGGAGTTGAATTTCATAGAATGAAAGCAAATGCCACAATGACGAATGAGCGTCCACAGTCGATTTGACGAGTACTGATTTTGGACAAATTCGTCGTGCTCGGCTCTGGCTGGACACTTTGCACACCCCCACCGAAGGATCTCAAGTGGCTGGCCTCACGTCTCAAATGTTGAGACAGATTTAGTTTTCCCTGGCATGAACAGTGACCCTGCCCTAGTAGTGCCTGCCGTAGTGCAGCTATAGACCCGCGTGCTTGCGTAATAAACAAACACACATGCCCACCCCAGTCCTCCCCTTAGCACGATCTACACTCAACAGGCTGGCGTGAGGATTGAGTTGTGTGCGTGTGCTTATTCGACAGCACACTTCCCCGATGTGGCGGTGGTGGTACTGGTGCTGAAACATTTGGGTGACGCGTCATGTCTTGGTCTCCCCAGGACATATTAAGATCTGCTGAGTTAATGTTCTTCCGCAGGCAATCTGCACGATGAGAAACAAGTGGCTTGCAGCCTGTTTCCTCGATTACCAATGCGCGGTGGTGTTGCAGGGGAAGGATGGCGGCAAGGTGCGTCACTTAAACAGAGCTAATACATTGAGGCACTCTTTACTACGTTAACAAGTGTTAAGGCAGCATTAGCAACAGGGACCAATTCCTTTTACCGTTGATCTCCTGAGTCACATTCTTCAACATAAGTGAAGGGTTTTGGATCAACTGAGCCCATCAAGAACGTCGAATTTTTACCAACAGGTCATAGCCTACTGGAGTGGAGTACTGACCAATGCTCACCTGCTCACCGGAACATGACGATAGGTCCGGCAAATGTTTTTGTTTTGTCAATTTTGGCAATATTTCGCCGTCAAAGCTCTAACCTCACCAATTTAACCCCCACCCCCTACAAAAGAATGTACAGTAAAACCTTGGATTGCGAGTAACTTGGCCTGCGAGTGTTTTGCAAGACGAGCAAAATTTGTAAATAAATATTAATTTGATAAACGAGCGAGGTCTTGTAATACGAGTAGTGCGTATACGCTTTGTCTGCCAAGCGTCACGTGATCACAACTGATATACAAGTGCTTTGATATACGAGTGCTTTGATATACGAGTGCTTTGGATTACAAACACGTTTCCGGAACGAATTATGCTCGCAATCCAAGGTTTTACTGTAATCATAATTCAGGCTCCAATTCATTTCTATATCAACCCGAGAGCATCGGTGTTTATCTGATGGTTTTCTAGAGCAACGGGACGACAGAGACCAAGCACGAGGTCTGTGTCATCAGCTTTCAGGGCGTCCTTCTGAAATTCCACGTGAAGAGAATAAACAAAAGGCCGAAAGGGAAGGTTGCCAAAACAAACACATGCAACGGCAGTTGGACTGCGGGTCATCCCGTAGGGGCACACCGGGTTATGTGTCAGATCGAAATTCCATTAATTTCCCAAGCCAGGACATCAAATGATGATAAATCAGCCTTAATCTTGTCATCTAAGAATGTATAGGATTTAGGTTCACATCACCTGACTTTTCACAGATTTCCAGGAAGAAGCCTCATTCATTAAGAATGACTCCAAGGCACACGTGACATAATTATGGATCGCAACAGCCTGGTGAATCCATACCTTGTGACCTAACTCTAGAAAAATGCAAGATACAATCCTGTATTGGCTAGCTTGGACTGGTATAATATTAATAATAACTCCCATCCCTTGTCGGTCTACTGCTAGATGAAGGCTTTCCAACGACGTACTGGACATGAGGGTTGTTTGACTACACTGGACCAGACTTCACCGCGCTGGTTTATGGCAGTTCGAACGGCAGCGTGGTGTCCACAACTTGCTCAGATGTGGCAGGGAATGGAGCTCTGGGCGCCGGGTTCGTCGTGCACTCCGCGAATCACTTTGCCACCACTCCACCCCGCCCCCGCCCTCGACTGATACAGAAGAAAATAAATAAATACGTAAATAACAACAGGCTGACACCGCACCCCGACAGCGTTACATGTGCATCTACCCCCCTAGCCCTCCCTCCCTCCCTCCTTCCCTCCCTCCCTTCCTCGCCCGTGCGTTTCAGAGCAGCACAGTTCCTGACCCCCTGTACCAACGGGCGTGCCCCTCTTGACACGGGGCTGATGAAGAATCCGGTCGTATCCCAGACCGGGCGGTGGCAGCTCCATAGTAGAGCGGTTGTGGGTGTCGATTTGTGTGGAACGTGCTACAGACAGGATGGTGGGGGTAACGAGGTAGGGCGGAGGAAGGGTTGAGGGGTAAGGGCAGAGGGAAGCGGGCAAGGGGGGGCACTCACTGTTTCTGATAATGTAATGGTCGAACATGCGCTGGCACAGCTGTGTGGCATCCTCGCGGTTCGTCGCCTCGCTCTCCCACAACAACCAGGTGACCAGCTGGAAGCCGAGGAACACGAGTTCGTACACCGAGGTGTCATCGCCCCGCGCGCGCATCATCGGGCTATTCTGTTTGTGCAGCCTGGCGGTGCCCGCGGTGGCGGGACATCGTGGGGGTAGGGGTGGATAAACAAGGAGATGGCATTATCATCGTTTTCTCGCTATATTTGCAAATTAACGTAGTGTACACGAGTGCTGCCATGGAGCGGTGGTTTATAGCACAGCGCTAACCCCCCTCCCCCCCACCCCACTAAGGGACATGGCGTGGGGAGGCCTTCACCCCAGCAGTGGTTTGACAAACAGCTATAAGTTGCATCGCGTTACAATGTGCATTAAACGGAGCCCTCTCGACACAGAATGGCGATAAACTAATTAAATTCACAACAGTATTTGGCGATCAGGCAGCTTCCGCTTACCGGGAGGCTTCACTTGAAACTCAATGGAAGAATTTTTCTTCGAAGGAAGAAACAAATCGTGACTCGTGCAACGCGTAAGAAATATGCGACGTTCCAACTAAGGTGGCTGGTGCTACACTCGGGGTGAAAGTGCGTCTGTGTTGGTTTTTCATGCCAACGTGAGCGCAGCGGTGGAATAATGGCGGGGGCGAGGTAAACACGAGATATCGACACCGCTATTAGAGCCCCCTGAACCCCAGCGCACGGTCACGGGAAGAGCGCTGGCCGGTTAAAAGCCAGCGTCGGGAGGCACAGCAGATCGTGAGCTGGCAGTGCGTGAGGAGGTTTGGGAGTGGGAGAGCTTTAGTTTTTCAGCTGGGTTTGTTGGGACTTTTGCGGCGATTGTCCGACATAAACGTATCTCGCCTCGCATTGTTTTTTGTCAAACTTGTAAAGTGGCAAACATTTCATCCGTAGATCTCACTAACGCGCCCCCGCCGTGTATGGAAGGCCAGGAAATAAACAGAACCTGCAGGGTAAACGGCCCGAACTAGGGGGGTGAAGGCCAGTTTTAAAGAGGTGCGTTCTCAAGGCAGATGTAAAAATATATCAAACGACTCTTGATTGTTCCAAAACCCTGGGAGATGCACTGGCAAAAGGCCCGATTCACCCCAAACCTTCGGCACAATGAAACGATACCGAGTCCCAAATAGGTTGCTCAAACCTCCCAGCAATCGCACACATCGCTAAAAGAGCCCAAGAAATAATTCAGTGGCTCACCTGGGCGGCACGCATCTGGGGCGTATATGCGTGACATTAAAGCATAGGCTACCGGACATCCTCAATCAAACAAAAAGGATTAAGGCCGTAGCTCCGAGTAAATTAAGTTGTTATTTTGTTTGTTATTTTCCCAAATTTGATTTAAATTTCTGCTATTGGCGCCGCGCGACGAGAAAAAGAATGAATTTTTATTTCTCGCAGAACAGTGAAATCCTCCGGGGTTAGAAAACGGCCCACAGAAGCGGATATCAGAGCTACCTCTGCGGCACCTTCAAGTGGCCTTTACACTTCCCCACCCACCCTGCCGCAAACAGGAACATCTGTCGCATGACAGTCGAGGTGATATTTTGTCAAATTTTGTCAAATTAACCAAATTTTATGTGATGGGGTTATTTTCATGCAGGCATTGGTGACTGGGCTGACAGGACAAGAAGAACCAAATGATCTGCACTGTCGAGAGAAAGGAGTTGAATAGATATGAGGGCAGGAGGTCCGACAAGGGGTTAAATAGGTAGCCGTGGCATACCACCAGTCCTTGTCTACTCTACGAGAGCACAAATAACAACACAACTGTATCATTAGACCTCCTTTTCCAGTACCAAAGTATAATATGGTTTTTCCCATTTTTTCTGGCAACAAAACTTAAACCTTTTTACGAGGATTCATGTCTGCATTAACCACAATACATGAATCCTTGTAAAAAGGTTTCAGTTTTGTTGCCAGAAAGAAAAAAAGGGGAAAAACCCTATTATTAAAACTCAACTGGTTCGCTCATAACGCTGTGGGGCCTGAAAATGAAAAAATTAACCCGTAAAAACAAAGTTTTTCACTATAAATCCTTTATATGTAAGATCAACTCTTGACATGCCCCGTATATTCCCGAGGGCACTAGCGTTGAACCGTTTTACCACTTTCAAGAACCTGGCGGCTTCAATTTAACTGCTCTGTAAATAGTCTCCACTGTACAGCGTGGGGGCAGGGATTTCATGCCATGTGGTTAGTCAACATTTGCGTCATCATGAAACGGGCGGCTAGAGTCCTCTCGTCCTCTGGCTTGAGACGGCTGCCACCTATGGGTCAGATGATTGTCTGCCACCATTAAGCAATTGGTAATTAAATATTTAAAAAAATTCCCTAAACAGTGTAAAATTTTGGAAAAACATTTTCACGAAAATTAATTGTCACGCACAACGAGTCTGTGTGCAAAATGTCAGCTCGATTGGATCACGGGAAGTGGGTTAAAAACGACCGAAAGATTTGCACGGTCGTAAGCAAGCAAGGAAGCACGCAAGCAAGCAAGCAAGTGAACTTAATATAAAGGATTTATAAATATCTAATCGGCAACGTTTCCGGTAAATGTCCCTTCTTCATTGCCAATATTATCAGCCATCATCATTCCACTGCTGCTTGCAGCCCTCCCTAATAATAACACTGGATCTCATCACAGTAGTATTATTATGATTATACTTACACTATGGGGACCTCATTTGCCAGTAAAAATATGATAATTGGTTCTTTACCCTTCTATCTGGCAACAAAACTGACACCTTTTTGCAAGGAGTCATGTTTGCATAGACCGCAATACCTGCAGTCATAATACAAACTAAAGAACATAACTCTGATAATGTGCACTGTCCTTGAAGTTGATTGGTCCACACCCGAGACAGCTTTCCTTCGAGCCTAGTCTCATATGGGTTGGACCAGATGACGCCAAAAGGCGCACGAGCCTTTTGGCGTCATCTGGTCCAACCCATATGAGACTAGGCTCGAAGGAAAGCTGTCTCGGGTGTGGACCAATCAACTTCAAGGACAGTGCACATTATCAGAGTTATGTTCTTTAGTTTGTATTATGACTGCAGGTATTGCGGTCTATGCAAACATGACTCCTTGCAAAAAGGTGTCAGTTTTGTTGCCAGATAGAAGGGTAAAGAACCAATTATCATGATTATACTTGTTTACGCAGGAAAGCCTCAAGCATTTCAAGGTGGTTCCTGCCAAATATTCGCAGAAGGTATTACCACGTGCAATCCCAAATTAGCAATGTGTGGGTAATTTTACAGCATTGGGATGTTTGCCCATTACCCAGTTACACTGTAATGTGTTTTGAGCTTTGGGAGGAAACCGAAGAACCCGGGAGGGAAACCCCACGCAGAACGGGTGGGAGAAGGTATAAACTCTACACAAAAACACGGTGCCCATGGTCGGGAATCAAACCCAGAAAACTCCTTACTGCCGCCCAATCAGATGGTGGTAAATCACGTGGTCCCCAGGCCTGCGCTGTTGAGAGCGAGTGAGAGCGTGTGCGAGCGAGTGGTGCGGCAGCACTTGCTTTTCAAAGATACGCTGTCCCCGCAAAAACATCCTGACCCCGTAGTTGAGTGTGTAGGTTCCGTCATCCCTGCGGAAGCGGTAGAACAACTTGGCATCCTTGAAGTCCTTGTGCTCGTCAGACACTGGGAGAGGGGGGGGGGGCACACACAGCAACACGCAGGGCTATGATTAGACAGATAAATACAAAGAGCCCCCGTGTAGCCTGAACTGACTGTTGGGGCAAGTGCTGTTAGCGCGCACCTATGAAGGCTGGCAGGATACACGATGGGATGGGTGGACAGCACCACGCCTGGCTGCCTCTGTCTCCCAAATGGCGATGATTACACGCTGCAACAGGTAGTCATTTGAGTCGACATAGGGGAGGCCCAGGACCGGTTCAGATATTCGTCACCATGTTGGCCATGAGCGGGAATCGAACTCGGGTCGCCGGGTTCGAAGTGCAGCGCGATTCGGGCTACGATTAACACACGCACGCACGCACGCACGAGCGCGTACCGACGTTGCGGAGGCGACAGATTCACGATCACTCTCCCATTCCGCACACCAATCGTACAACCTTTACGATAATTTTACAATGCACTTTACAGGCCAGTTGCGTCACTGCACTTTACGGCTGTCGCCGAGTTGGCCGTAACTCAAGGCGTGTAAGAAATTAACAGTTTATTTTGTGTTGCATTGCCAAGGTCTCTTGACAGTTGCGCTGTCGAGTTAGGAATCCCATAGCGGGGCTTTATAATCACGAGGAGCATCCTTCGAATATAGTTTGAGCCCGAAATGTCGTGATTTAATTTATTTTATATTTTATACCTACGTGACTTTACCGAAAGAACCAAAGAGTAACAAAAACACATCGCACCGACCACCTCCGCCATCCTTAACTGTTGTATTACAGCATTTATCTTCATCGTTTTGTTTCTTTTCCCGCATAAAGTTAAAGGTGCAGCCCTGCAAATGCTTCCTCAGGCTACTGCTAACAGAAGAGCCTTCAATAGAGGGAGCTTAAAAGAACCCCGGCAGAGGGTATTTGGCTGATTCTTCCATGCCGGCCAACCGTCTTTGACGAGGTGTTAGGCCCCACACTTTAGCTCACCACTCGTGAGCTGTCAATCAACCGAGTGTGGTGATGACGACAAAAATGAACAGGCTTTACCATTTCCGGCAAGGGTACAGGTGTAAAGGCTGGTCTAACGCTGGTGAGACGAGATCATAAAAATTAACCCGTAAAAACTAAGTTTTTCACTATAAATCCTTTATATGCGTGGCAGCTAGAGTCCTCTCGTCCTCTGGCTTGAGATGGCTGCCACCTATGGGTCAGATGATTGTCTGCCAGCATTAAGCAATTGGTAATTACATATTTTTAAAAAATTCCCTAAACAGTGTAACATTTTGGAAAAAAAATTTCACGAAAATTAATTGTCACGCACAACGAGTCTGTGTGGAAAATGTCAGCTCGATTGGATCACGGGAAGTGGGTTAAAAAACGACCGAAAGATTTGCACGGTCGTAAGCAAGCAAGCAAGCACGCAAGCACGCAAGCAAGCAAGCGAACTTAATATAAAGGATTTAAAAAGGAGGCCGTCTCTGGTGTAGGCCAATCAGTTTCAAGGACAATGCATAATATTATCAAAGCCCATTTGTTGGCATGTTTTACCACAAGCACGTGTGGTTAATGCAGACTTGTTCCCTTGCGATAGGTGCCTATTTGGTGTTTGAACATCTTGCCAGGAAAGGGTAAAAAGCCCATTCATCATCTTGATATCGGCAAAAAGGGAATCCTGAGTGTGTGGTGAACCCATTTGAACTGTTGGGCGGAAAGACGCAGGGCAGGGGCATTTAAGAAACCTGCTCATTCTTTCAACTGCGACACCAGCGAGAATACATCGAACGGACAACCTCTGGATTCCAAGTCCAGCGTGATAACCACTACACGATGGCAGAATCCCCTCCACGCTGCACGACAACTCTCCACGGTCTCCGTTTGACCGTGCGGTGTGGGTCAATATTAAAACACATATATAGTGCATCTACTGGTTACAGAAAGGATACGTACAAATGGAGTGGCAGGGTGGCACAGTGCTTATACTTGAATCTCACAACAACAAGGGCCTGGGTTCGATTCACGTTTTGGGCTCCTCTCTATGTGGGGTTTGTATGTTCTTCCCCTTTTCTGCATGCGTTTCCTCTGGGTTCTGCGGTTTCCTCCCATAGCTAAACAAATCAGACAATGTAACGAGTATTGACCAAACATCCCAATGTGAAAAAAATCACCTGCTAATGACTCAATTTGAATTTCACGTAAGAGCATTGCCCACTGCTATGAAACACTTGGCGCGTGCACCCTTCTGAGATTCAGCGAAGCTCACCTAGGTAAACAGGCGTGACGTGAAAATACTAACCGTGGTGCACGATGTTGTGCGCCATGAGAACCTGCATGCAGCACACCGCTGAGGGGCGGTCCTCCACTTCCTCGCTCTCAAACAGCCAGTCCACGAGCTCGCGCCCCACAAAGCAGTTGGGGTAGGTGCGCAGGTGGTGCCGCCTGTCCTTGATCACTTTATCTTTGTGCATGCGCTGCCTGGGCGCACGTTGGGCCGATGGGGAGAGGGCGGGGAGGGGAGGGCACAGGGGGACGGCACAGCGAAATGAACGATGCATCAGTCTTCCGCACAATCCCACAGTGCCGGATTATCCTAGCAGCAAAAGTAGCTACAGATGCTACGGGCCTCGCACTTTCAAGGAACCCGCACTAAATGCTTTTCAAGCTATCAATTCAGGTGCAGTAATTCTGCACTTGCTCTATTACTATAGTACTATACTGTCTTCAACTTTTATGAACGACTGGGTGTTTAAGGTTAGTGATTTGTCAAATTATCTGGCTGTATTGCAAATGAAAAAATACAATTACCTCACTATGTAAGTAAAAAATGTGTCTTTTAATATTTATGTGTTTTTTTTTTATTTGGGACCCCCTTTATAACATATGCTACAGGCCTCGCAATAGCTTAATCTGGCACTGCAATCCCACCCTCCTAACTCCTGCCCCACCTCCCACTGTTGTCAAAACAAGCATTGCAAACGGTTTTCCATTCAGCGGCAGGGAAGTGTCTGCGCTCAGACGGCTGGTTGTTTTCCTTTTTTTCCTGCAAAGGTAATGAAGAGAAACACGGGCGAGCGGTTGCGCATTTCCAAAATAAACAGACCAACGTTGACGTTGGCATGTGGTTGGCACAGTCGGACCACCATTGGCCCAACGTTCCACGCACACTGGGTCGACGTAGTTGCAGGGGTTCGCGGTTGCAAGGCCTGAGGGCCGCTTTGGTTCACGGTTGAAGCCCCAAGGGCCACTTTAGTTCACGGTTGGAGCCCTGAGGCCTGCTCTGGTTCACGGTTAGAGCCCTGAGGGCAACTCTGGTTCTCACCACTGGGGGTTTTAACAATTAAAGGTATTACATGCTGTCCGCTTCCCAGGGCCCGTTAATGATCCCGTTACTTGATTCGAACATAGAGTAAAGCCATCGCCAGGTGCCTGCATCACGCTCTAAATTTTCCAAACAAAATAAATACCTGCAAATTACACAATTGGGAATATGCACAGCAATCATCTTGTTACCCCCCCCCCTCTGCTGTGAAATTTAGCAGAAACGTCTTCAGATTGCGTGAGGTTATCTTGGGTAAAAATGTTAAATAATGATAACATTCTTTACGTGTGCAAAAGGGACATCAAGGCTAGTGGTGTGTGTGTTGTTTATGCAGTCTGCTAATGTGCATAATGTTAACGTGAGACTTAAATATCATTGGCTGTAATTGTTTCATAAGCAAAACAAAAAACCCCACTCAAAATGGCTATCGACAGCAATCGGCACGAACCATCAAAAATTTCAATACAAATCAACGTTGAAATATCGTCGAGCTTTCGGGCGATGAGAAGCATCATAATATAAATGGATTTTGAGTTGAGTGAAGTCTTCCGAGTGAATAACAAGAATTCCCTTCTGAGAAAAAAATGATTCAAAAACTTTGCTACATCAGTTGATTTTCTATTACTTGCGGGGAACATGTGAAATAACAATGATAAATTATGATGGGTCATTGCCAGGACAAACTATTGTTCAACAGCAACTTTATTTGCTAAGACAGTAGAATCTGTAATTACAATTTCTGCTTGTCCATTTTGTGACAACAATGTTGTAACATAAGGCTCGGAGTACAGCTTGTGGGTCCAACGTTAATTCTCCTGGATGAGCACTATCCCGGATTACAGTTGCATTTGAGTCGACAAAAATAACAGAAACTTTGTTGAAACAGCCTTTTTGGAACTTGTCTGATTGCAAACGCAATGCGCAATACGATTGGCCAGGTGGAGTCGCACGGCGTCATGGCAATGTTTGTATGTTTTATATTCTTTGATATCATGGGAGAGCTGCTGAGAATATACAGGGTGTTTCAAAAAGATGGACCCAATTTCAAAGCAGTATATTTCACGATGGTTAATGAGTTATCAAGTTTTACTAACCATTTTATAAATGCTCTATGTGCCCTCCACCTGTTGTACAGACAACATCGAGACAATAGTTGAATTCGTCCCAAACGCCTCTCTTCTGACGTTTTCCTCTGAGGTGCGTGGTCGCCCTGTGCTCTTCCCCTTACACCAACAGCCTGTTTCCTCAAATTGTCGGTACCAATGACGAATGCTCTTTGACATTGGCGGATCAATGCCAAAACGCCGTTGAAACCTGAGCTGATTTATATACAAGTATAAATTATTCGGCGATGATATGTAAACTCGGTTAACCCATCTTTATAAAAGGTGATTAACACGCTCACCTAGGGTATTTTTTTAAATGTCTTATTTGCTGTAAGTTAACTGGGATGTTTGTTGAATTCATCGGCCTAGTAGGCTCCTAACCACACCCTCCCAGGCAAAAGGGGAAGATGGTGAGTGGGCACCCCAGCCTATACTTTTTCTATAACTTAAAACCTGGGCCCTCAATGATTTTGATGGCTCAGTTGCATTATTTAACTATGTTAAAAAAGCCCAATTAACTGACTCAGTTTAGCCTGTCATTGTTATGGAAAATGCAACAAAGTGTACGTTTAACTTTGGCTTGACATACGACACCGCACAATTCATGCACACCTTTTGTTCGATTTAGTTTAGCGAGACTTTCACCTGCTGTACACGGTCGATAAATAATGAAATGTGTGCGGGTGTCCACTCGAGCGTGTGTGTGCACGCATGGGGGGAGTGGCAGTGCAGCGTTTAGCGCACTGCGCTACCAAACCCGGCAACCCGGGTTCGATTCCCGCTCAGAGCCAACATGGGTGACGTTTATCCGAACCGGTCCTGGGCCTCCCCTAGGTTGACTCAGCCTCCAATAAGTACCTGATGCGGTGCGTGTGCATCACCGCTGGGGAGACAAAGGCGGCCGGGCGTGGTGTTGGCCACCCACCCCCTCGTGTGCCGTGCCGGCCATCAAAGGTGTTCACTAACAGCACTTGCCCTAACAATCTGTTACAGACTATGTGGGAGATCTTTGTCTTTGTGCAAGCGCCTGCCGCTTTGTGTATACTATACACACTCGGACAACCAAAAGTAGTATATACAAACGCAGGGCTTAATATAGTCTGTCAAAAGCACGCAGTCACGTTTCCTAGCTAACCTTAAACGCACCCAAACCGATTCACCCATCGCTCCTCCCGTCCTTAAGTCTATTCAGCCAAACGGCAGACGGTTTTTCTAACAGCCACAGCACGGTCCACGAAAAGCCGCATGTACACTCACTATTCACAAGCGTGGCAGCAGGAGGGAGGGTGATCTGGTGATCCCCAGGAAATCCGAATCCGTTGCTAAACAAGCCCAGCAGCCTTAACCCCGGTCCCATCTCCAACATTTGCAATGCAGGTTTGCGCGAGGTGCACACAAGCTCTAAGTTACAAAAAGTTTGCTTAGCTTGTTGTTGTGTTTTAAATTATATCTCGTTTTGCAATGTTTAAACCGCAACTTAATTCTCGTCTTGTTCTGCTATGTTTTGGTTGAACTTACATTCGTAATTTATTGTTGTACTCGCTTTAATGACTGCCATTAACGACGCAATGCCCCGAATCCACAAATACGAAGGAGACATCACAGCGACACAGACACCGCTGCTCCTGACGCGCTTATCTGGCTTGACCACCTGAACGTTAAATTGTAGCTGCTGCTCCGCATCTTCATCAGCCATACGAGAGTAGAAGATGTAACCAGAAAGGCCTCCCTCGCAAGAGTCTCCGGTCTTTTCAGATGGGGTCCGGCAATAGACAACTGCTGTACTGTCATCTGCTGACCGCCTTCCAAGCCAAAACTTCCAATACCTGGTGTTCCCAGGCAGCCTCTTATCCAAGTACAGTGGTACCTCGGTATACGTCGTTAATTCATTCCAGAAGGTAGGACTTATACAGAAAATGACGTATACCAAACTAATTTTTCCCATAAGAAATAAAGGGAAAGGAAATAATCCGTTCCAGAGTTTAAGAAATTATATTTTATATGGCATATTATACATTAATTGGGTTTTATAAATAATTTAGACACTACTTATTACTAAAATGCATACATAAATTTAAATAAATTAATTAAAATAAATTTAAATAAAACTAAAATTGTACATCACTTTACTTTGGTGGAGCAAGGGTTGTGTACTGAACAAGATCTACTGTACAGGCAGACTGAGCAGCGGCGCTTTGTTTCAGTCGTGAACGGGGTCTACGCGGATACGCGGTGACTCATCCCGACCCATACAAGTTCTCGCAAGCACGTCGTATCCCAAGCAAGACGTCGTATCCCAAGCAAGACGTCATATCCCAAGACATTTTTTTCTCGTCAAAACACAACTGTACACCAAATTCGACGTATTCCAAAGCGGTCGTATACCGAGGTATGACTGTACGAACCACGCTGACACTGCTTAGCTTGCAATAACTGATTAGATCTGATGCTTTCCTGGTGATTTGGTCAGATAGGCTAGCCTTGCGAAGAAGACGTTTTGGATTCAAAGGCCTCTCACCTGGTCATCAAGGGCTTCTAACTCATTCGTTATTTAAAGCAGAGTAAACAAGGCAGGGAAAATCACATTAGGCAACTTTATGCAACTGGCTGTAGACTTTAAATGAATTGTACTTCATAAGGCTAGACTTGCTCACATGAAATCATAGTGCACGGCACTAAGATTGATACTTGACACCAACTTTTATCATTACAAATAAAACTCAAGACTCGCCATTAACCTTGCCATACAAAAGAAAATATACATTATACAGAAAAAGGCTTAAACACCTTCTTATGCTATATTCACTATTTAAAGGTCGTGATGATAAAGCCAAATTTCAGTCAGTATTCAAAGTACATTAGGACGTGAAAACAAATATACGAACCAATCAGACCTAAAATTGTATCAATTTTCATTGGCCAATCACATGACAATTTTTACAGTGGCCTAAAATAACTGGACACAGTATGTGCAGAATGTATCGTGCCAATATTCAAGCTGGGGAGCAACACACACCACCCTTAAATATCGTCTGTCGTCTGATGGTTTGTCATTATTATGGGCAGAGGTTGGTTTATAGAAATCTAATTTTAGTGCTAAAAAAGCATTACGTGTTTTTTTTTATTCGAAATTAAGATAACTTAGAAGAAGATGTATAAGAAGTGGATGACGGGTCACCAATGACTGTACCAACAACAAAAAACCGATCAAGAAAAATTTGATTCGACACTTAATTCCGGCTCCGAGAATTAAAAATGTTGGTTTGACTGCCATGCAACAAACATTACTCTCTGCACGCAAAAAAAGTAATTCATTATTTACAAGGTGATTAATTAAATAATAGGTTTCTATCTACGTGAGGTTAGCGAAATAAGCAATAAAAAAAGTTGTCTGCACACAAACAAAATGATTAATATATTTCCAAACCAATTGTTTTAATATCATTTTTCTATGTACATGAGTTTAGCGAAAGAAGCAATAAAATTGTACTGAACTTTACCGTGAGGCCTAGTCCGGTGCAGAACCCGCGGCCTCGCCTAGATTGTGCAGCCGGCCGAGGTGGCTCCCTGGCAGGCTGTGGGCTGGGCCACTCCCCCCGCCCGCCCTACAATAATTACTATCGAAGCGCTATATAATATTAATGTAGGAACTCTATAGCAGTAACTGCACGCATTGGGGTGGGGGGGGGGGTACCTACGTGACTTTACCGAAAGAACCAAAGAGTAGGGGTATATGACATTTTGAAGAATTAACGTCAGCGTTTTGTGTGAAAATGTCCCCGTCACCCCGACCGACTTGGTAAAAGACGTCCCCCCCAGCGAACGCGTGTGACTTGGTACGGTCGAACGCCGCCATTTAATAAATAAATAAAGGAAACCTGCACTAAATCGCTCATTCAAGTCATTTAAAGTTGACGGATGTGAAAAAGGAATAGCTCTTAACCACGGCGTGGTACCTGGCAATTTTTTTAACGTAAACCCCACCGTTGGAGAGCCAAGCGCGCGACCACACAAAACCCTGCCACAAACTCACACACTATTTTTGACTTTTATATATACTGTATAGATGTAGATAGAATAGATTCAACCAGGATAATTAAATACACCCATTTAGACGCGTGAAACATTGTCCCTTTTTGCAGGGGCCATCTTGCCCGAGTATTTATCACAGCAGAGCCGTCAGCAAAATACAATTCACGGTGAGGGGGAAAGTTAGTTTGGGCTCGCGCAAGAAACCACAACGTAGTGATCAATGATCTCCAAGTGTTCCTGGACCATGGAAACATAGCTCTAAAAAGAATGTATGCTAGGATCCATCTTGGATAGTGATATTTTAACTTAAATGGTATCAACGCAGTAATCAGGATTATAAACATCACATTTCAAAAAGGAAAATCCAAGTACGGCTCAAAGTATAAAAGGAACATAAAGGAAATGTACATCGGAGCTGAGTGCCCCTATGGTAAAACCCTAACTCAGTTATAGCTAACCCAGGGCAAGATCTAGGCCTTGGAGAAATCACCTACGTTTAGCATGGGCAAGGGACTTGTCATAAGCAGCAAAACTAATCTATGGGACGGATAGCATGGGGCATGCGAGGCACTCACAACACCATGTAGGAGGTAGGCCAAGCCGGGTTGGAAACCCCCGATTCCCAGTTTCACGCCACTCTCCTAGAACTCAGATGCAGTCACAGGAGCAAAGACAGTGTGGCTAGATGCAACAGCAGCAGCAAAAATGTTGCATAAATGACAATTGGATAAGCGGACTGTGACAGCAGAGATGAGGTCATAGTCGTAAAACTCGGGTCATAGGATGAACATGGTGACAACCAAGTCGCAGTTCACTAGACTTTATCGTATTGATTTGAAGCTTTCGTGACTGCAGAAATCCATACTCTTTGGTTTTGCTGCTGCTGAGGCAGACGATTTTTAAACAGTCTGCCTCAGCAGCAGACCATGCTTTCCCACCTGATGATGGACGCTTTTGTTGTGCCCGAAACGTCGTGATTTATTTTAATTTATACCTACGTGACTTTACCGAAAAAACCAAAGAGTATACTTTATCGTATGTTCGAAACAATATTGAAGAGGTTGCATTGATTGCAGGATTCGACCTCGAGGTCAAAGCACCGTTGACGAGGCTACGGATTCAAGGCAGCGTCAACTAAGTTACAGGGTTACAGAATATGTTCATACACCAATGAACACTTCCTAGGTTATCTCTAAGCACTGACAAAGTAGCACTGTCCAGGTGAAGCCCAGGTATCGCCACACTGTCACGCCCACTGGTAACCTCAGGGACCACTGGACATTGACAAATGGCACGCTTCAGGCAACTGCAATTATTTCCAGACTAAGACGAGGTGGTGTTCGGCAGGGGCATCCAGGCATCGCCAGACAATGACGAGGTGAAGTCCTCCAAGCATCCCCAAGTATCTCACGGCTAACTGACGAGGTGGCACCAGACATCCTTGACGAGGTAGCATCCGGTGCTCGGCGAAGGCTGCGCCCGAGGTGTTTAAACGGGGCGGCGCACGGAACGTGTATCCAAGGTAGATATTGGTCGCACCTTCCAGGCAATTCCAGGAAAGCGTAAGGCTGAAAGCGAGTCACAGAGCAGTGCCGCCACGCTTGAGCCATTGGCTCGAGTGCGGGGGCACTGCTGGGAGCAACGGCGCTCCCCAGTCTTGTTCACGACGCCTGCCTCGCCAACTCACGAGATGGCGACATCTCCTCAAGATGGATGCCGTCCCGTGGCCTCTTCTGGAAGAATCACCTACTTCCGGAAGATTTCAATCCTCGTTAAATTTGAACGAAGATGCCACCGTCTACTGCAGGGGTCGGCAACCAAAATAACAAGAAGAGCCATTTCTTTCCAATTCGGTACAAAATTCAGTATTTCAAGAGCCGCAATGCATCTGAGTACATACTGTACATACGTACATATCGTCAAGAAGCAGCCCGTAAAGAGCCGCATGCGGCTCCGGAGCCGTAGGTTGCCGACCCCTGGTCTACTGGAAGATGTCATTCGAAAAGGGCTTCTGAGGTGTGTTCATGTTGACCTGCTCTGGTGCCCTCTAGCTCAACCTTCATGAGGGGCTTCTGATCTGTGGGAAGGGACAGGTAGGGTACTACACGAAGCATCATTCGGAGCGCCAACGTGGGATGTGACTTTTTCAACGTTTAACGAGTGCCGATGCAATGTCGCAGTGAATGTGGTTGACAATTTTGGCTTGAGTGTCAAGGCAGAGTGTGTCTCACGGTTAGCATTGAAAAAATAACAATTACAGTAAAATATAGCTTTTGGTATAAACTAGAGACTTCATAAATCAGTTTTTTTTGCAGGATTTGGTTACATATTGTGGCTTTGCAAAATAACATCTGTAAATAAGACAAAACTCAGTATGGTTATCCCTATGGCATCTGAGCTAAAGATCTGTAAATTTTGTTATGTCAATTGAGAATGAATAATAAAGAATGCAAAGCCCTCTGTAAATCCTCAACTGGATGATAAACTGTTTGACCATACATCACTGCGGTGGTCCGTGTGGTGTTCGCTATGGCTGGGAATTGAACTCGGATCACTGGGCTCACAGTGAAATGCGCAAACCACTTTGCCACTGCTCCCAATAAAAAAATGAAATCACTAAACTACACTCAGACAAACCCTAACACAACCAACAACAACAACACAATGGCAGCTGGCTTTGTGAGTGTCGTCCATACTTGCCATGACCAAGCGAATGCAAAAATTTGCGATATAAACTTTGAGAAAAGCTTTCCAATTTCATACCACTTTTACGACCCATGTGTGTAGCAGCTGCTTCACAGCACCATTCCGTACTGTATCGCCGTGCTGTGAATTGAGGTTTGTCCGGAGGGCGCTAATTATAGACCCTGTAAATGGACCCGTACCTCTCACTCTCTTCCACTTAGCTGGCTCCGCAATGGGAACGTTAGTGAGATCATCCCACTGGTTCACTTCAGGTGCCCTGCCATCAAAATAAACAATTATGTAATTGCAGCTACAATTGTTCAGAATTACCGTAGCTGATCGCCGATAAGGAAGACTTTCATGTCGATCGAGTCCTTATTCAGCATGGGCCCTGTGTCGTCCATGATGCTCTTTAGTCCGTCCTGGAATCGCACGCGCGCAAAAACACACGTTCCAAGCGATATTAATGCCTATGACATCATGTGTAGGTTTGACCGATGGCTACAGTGTGCCATGTGCACATGACATGAATATCAGTCCTATGCCTTACGTCAATCCACCGCCGGATGAGGGCCTCCCCGTGCCACATGGGGGTTATTTCCATCATACTTCACCACACTGGTCAGTGCAGGTTGGTCAAGGTGGGAAGCCGAGAAGTAATTGATTTTCTCCTGCACTGCCCACTACCTGGTAGCCCCCCCCCCCCCCCACAGCCGATGGCGACACTTTGTGTACGGTGGTTTATCTTCCAAGCACTTTCCACGTTGAAAACAGCTTAGCTTCTGAGATCCAATGAGACGGGCATATTCTGAGCAATGTGGCCATTGGCACTGCATGTATATAACAAAATATACAGTTCGTGTGCACAGCACAGTGGCTTCAACACTCCAGCCAAACTGTTAATAAAAACATGGTTTTTAAATCATTTACAGCCGTTTGTCAATGCAGTGCTCGCTGGAAGCCTCCACACCGTGCTGGCCATGGTGGCTGTTTCGGCGTTATTCTCCACTCTGGGGACTAGGGCCAGTACAGATATCACTCGTTCCTGACACTAGCCATGGCCGGGATTCAAACTTAGAACCATCAGGTTCATAGTGCAGTGCGCTAACTACTGCAGCACTGCTCCATCCTATGAAAACCCAGGAAAGAAATCATATATATTTTTCCTAAATAGAATTTGCTAGTCCAACCAACGGATTGCAGTCGTTTGTTCTGTGCTTCTCATCTCACAAGAAAAGTCGTTAACTATGTAATGTTACACTCGTGTATGATGTACAATGCAAAATAAATCCACGGTGACCGACTCTTAATAGCACTGTCCACATTTCATGAGCGCTGATGCAAAGCTACGGACGGATAAGTGAGGATTTACGACAGGTAATTACCAAACAATCTGTGCATGCTGATCTCATCCAGAATAAAAGTGACTTGTTAAAGTATTCTGTAGGGTCCAGCCATCACATTCAATTAATGCCTCGGGACTATGTTATATGGACTAAGCCGCTGTAATTAACGCAGGCACTGTAATGCATTACTGGCAATTACAGCTAAGGGTCATAAGGGGAGAACGGGTATGATTTTTTTTAAAAGAAGGCTTTTCATTATCAACTTACATAATCGTACACACATTGAACATTCATTCCATCGTACACATTCGGGTACACACGACTAGATACCAACATTAACATCCACTGCTCGTGGTCTTGTGTAAGTGGCACTTCATGTATGTAGCATGGAACATGTTCCATAAAACCACTTAATCATTAGTGTTGCTTTATTTGCATGACAACTGTATTTCATCGTCATAGTTTTTAATTTGATGCACGCATGAGAGCCGATATATTGTCGTAACCATCAACTGCATTTTCACACATTTTATAAATGTCGCCGTTTATTTTCGCGCAGTTTTTTTTCTGACACCGGATTGCTGCTCTGGTTCTCATTCACGTCTTTGCCCTGTCCCCACGCGTCTTATGCAAAAGATCTTTGTCTCAGCAGGCTCTCTTAACTTATCTCACCTGCGCCTGTATCAAGACTTACGAGATAAGTGACAGTGCCAAGTTGTTGGCGGAGCGGTGGCACAGCGGTTAGCCACAGCGCGTTACAAACCCACCAACATAACTATTGAACGATTTTTTTTTATATTTGACCAGATAAGGCCTACTGAGCTATATATATTTTTTCAGAAGTGACCTGGCCACAATGATAGCTCAACTAAGTAGCTTATCACGTGGAAAATCAGAGCAGCCGAGGTAGTAAAGGATATGCTTCGTATGTGCAAATTTTTTAGTTTTTACTCCTTGTGTGTTGTTCTGTTACGTGATACTTTCACAATAATGCCCTTCCTCCTTTAACATAGGAAAGCCTCACAGATTGTCAAGATATTTTCAAATATGAAACTACTACACGATTTTTTTTATTTTACCGGGTAAAGCTATTTTTTTCAGAAGCGACCGGGTATCACAAACGACAGCTCAATGAAGTGGCTTATCACGTGGAAATGTTTCGCAGCCTGATACTCTAAGCGCATGTTTCTAAATGGAGGGATAAACTGGAGGACCCAGAAAAAAATATTCACGCGACCACGTGGTCGCAGAGACAAACTCCAAATATTCAACAGGCGTCAGGGAAGTGATCGAACCCACGACCTCCTGTATAGCCGGCGAGGTAGTTAACATCTCGCCACCGCGGTGCCCCCATTCCAAGTTCGATTCCCAGCCACAGCTAACATCAGTGGTATTATCCGAACCAGTTCTGCCCCCTCGCCAACGTCACCAATCCGCTCGCACTGACCAGCGTGGTGAAGTATGGTCAAAGAGCCCCCACAACTCGCATGGCTTTCGGGAGAGACCTTCAATCCATCAATGGATTGGCAAAGGGCTGTGCATTACACGGATTGCAATGTGTTACCGTACTCTGGTTCTGTACTGCATTCAAACGCACACTGTGTCAAGCGTGGTTATGCTGGATGATTGTGAGCCATTTATTAAAGCAATCTGTCAACCCTCGTACACACAGCCTGGAGCAAGATAGGCAGCACATGTGCGCTGGGAATTCAACAATCCGACGTGCTGTGTCCGTCGCTGTAAGTTTCCACACAACTTGAGTCTTCACTGATCGTCTTGCTCTCTCTAAAACACACACACTGGAGAGGAATTGAGTTTCTCAGCTGGAAAGATTTTCTCTCTCACGTTATCCAGCTTTCTACCTGTGCAGCAACGTGCGAAACAGCCTGCACCAAACGCCAAGAACAACCCCGTGAGCTGCGACTTCAGTCGGCCGTGAAGTTAGTGAAGTCAAAATCATTCTGGTGGAATAATTGAGGAGCACAAACACAAAGAACCCCCCCCCCTATAGCCTTAACAGACTATAGGGGCAAGTGCTGTTAGCGAGCACCTACGAAGGCCGGCACGGGCACACGAGGGGGTGGGTGGCCAAGACTGCGCCCGGCCGCCTTTGTCTCCCCAGTGGCGATGTTTACACACCATTGCACCAGGTACTCATTTGAGGCTTAGTCGACCTAGGGGAGTCCCAGGACCGGTTCAGATCATTGTCACTTGGTGTTGGCCGTGAGCGGGAATTGAACCTGGGTGGCCAGGGTCGTAGCGCAGCGTAGCGCTAACCACTGTACCACCGCTCCCCCCACACACACTCAGACAGTGCGCTAACCACTACACCACCGCTCCCCACACACACTCACACAATGCGCTAACCACTACACCACCGTTCCCTACACACACACAGTGCGCTAACCACTATACCACCGCTCCCCCCCCCCACACACTCACACAGTGCGCTAACCACTACACCACCGCTCCCCCCCACACACTCACACAGTGCGCTAACCACTACACCACCGCTCCCCACACACACACACAGTGCGCTAACCACTACACCACCGCTCCCCACACACACAAATGCTGAGAACAGCTCGCACTTACATGCACACACAAAGATAGCACTTGCGTACACAAATACACTGCACAAACACACACAATGTATCGTTGTAACACAATAGTGTACACAGTCAAAAATAATGTTTAAAAAGCGCACAAATTAAGTGTGCATATTGGCACAACACACATTCACTATACACAGACAACATATAAACTCTTACACAGAACCATAATACTGAAAAACACACACACTGCAAACTGCAGACACAGCAAAATGTGAATGCATGCAAACTTGTGCAGAGCACACACTAAAACCACACGCAGCACACACTAAAACCACACGCAGCACACACTAAAACCACACACAGCACACACTAAAACCATACACAGCACACACTAAAACCACACACAGCACACACTAAAACCACACACAGCACACACTAAAACCACACAGCACACACTAAGAGCACACAGCACACACTAAAACCACACACAGCACACACTAAAGTCACACACAGTACACACTAAAACCACACACAGCACACACTAAAACCACACAAAGCACACACTAAAACCACACACAGCACACACTAAGAGCACACACAGCACACACTAAAACCACACACAGCACACACCAAAACCACACACAGCACACACTAAAACCACACACAGTACACACTAAAACCACACACAGCACACACCAAAACCACACACAGCACACACCAAAACCACACACAGCACACACCAAAACCACACACAGCACACACCAAAACCACACACAGCACACACTAAAACCACACACAGCACACACTAAAACCACACACAGCACACACCAAAACCACACAAAGTACACACTAAAACCACACACAGCACACACTAAAACCACACACAGCACACACTAAGAGCACACACAGCACACACTAAAACCACACACAGTACACACTAAAACCACACACAGTACACACTAAAACCACACACAGTACACACTAAAACCACACACAGCGCACACTAAAACCACACACAGTGCACTCAAACAGACTGTTGGGGCAAGTGCTGTTAGCGAGCACCTATGAAGGCCGCCTTTGTCTTCCCGGTGGCGATGTGCACACACCTCACCAGGTACTCATGAGGTCGTGTTGCTACACTACCGCTCCCCACACAGGCAAAACATGACAGTCACTCACACTCACAAAGATCCCCCAGTGAAGTCTTAACGGATTGTTGGAGAAAGTGAATTTAGCGAAGACCGTATCACATAATACACACTCAGAACCACACACACAGACAACAACATGACGGGGGAACAACACACAGTCAACAACACACACAACAACACACAGACAACATCAGCACAGACACCAACACACAGTCAACAGCACACAGACAACACACAGTCAGCAACACACAGACAACAACACACAGACAACAACAAGGGGGGAACAACACAGTCAACAACAGTAAACAACATACAGATACAACACACAGACAACAACACACAGACACCAACACACAGACAACAACACACAGACACAACACACAGACAACACACAGACACAACACACAGACAACAACACACAGACAACAACAACACACAGTTACAGCACGGGGAAACAACACACAGACAACACACAGACAACAAGGGGGTACAACACACAGTCACAACAACACAGACAACACACAGACACAACACACAGACACCACACAGACACAACACACAGACAACAACACACAGTCAACAACACACAGACACAACACAGACAACAACAACACAGTCAACAACACACAGACACAACACACAGACACAACACCAACACAGACAACACACAGACAACAACACAACACACAGACAACAACACAAACACAGACAACAACACCAACACAGACAACAACACCAACACAGACAACAACACCAACACAGACAACAACACCAACACAGACAACAACACACAGACAACACAGACACAACACCAACACAACAACACAGACACAACAACACACAGACAACAACACACAGACAACACACAGACATAACACCAACACAACAACACAGACACAACAACACACAGACAACAACACAACAACACACAGACAACAACACCCAGACAACAACACCCAGACACAACAACACACAGACAACAACACACAGACAACAGCACAGACACAACACCAACACAACAACACAGACACAACAACACACAGACAACAACACAACAACACACAGACAACAACAACACCGACACGGGAGGGAGGGGGGGCACAGTCCAGGCGCCAGTGAACCGCGTGTGGCTCTCGAGGAAGGCGGCCACCGCCGCCACCGCCCCCCGTGCCAGCAACGCGGCTGGAGCGAGGCGGCATTGAGCAATTGCGGCTACAGCTACAAGCAGCAGGCGGTAAACACAACAACAACAACAACCACAACAACAGCAGCAGCAGCACAATCATAGAGAGCATAGGCAGCTGGCGGTGTTGGTCCGTGCGCTTTACACACCAGGAGGAGGAGGAGGAGAGGAATCCGCTGGCCCGGCTCGGGGTGGTGGTGGTGATGGTGGTGGAGGGTTCGCTGTTGTTGAGGGTCGCTGGTGGCGGGGGATGGGGGCCAGAGAGAGAGAGAGTGGGAGGGCGAGTTTGGTGGGTGTCGTGGGGGTGTGTGTGGTGGTGGTGGGTGTCGTGGGGGTGTGTGTGGTGGTGGTGGGTGTCGGTTGTGTGTGTGTGGTGGGTGGGTGGTGGGTGTCGTGTGTGTGTGGTGGTGGGTGTCGTGGGGGTGTGTGTGGTGGTGGTGGGTGTCGGTTGTGTGTGTGTGGTGGTGGGTGGTGGGTGTCGTGTGTGTGTGTGGTGGGTGTCGTGGGTGTGTGTGTGTGTGGTGGTGGGTGTCGTGTGTGTGTGTGGTGGGTGTCGTGGGTGTGTGTGTGTGTGGTGGTGGGTGTCGTGGGTGTGTGTGTGTGGTGGTGGGTGTCGGTTGTGTGGTGGGTGGTGGGTGTCGTGTGTGTGTGTGGTGGGTGTCGTGGGTGTGTGTGTGTGGTGGTGGGTGTCGGTTGTGTGGTGGGTGGTGGGTGTCGTGTGTGTGTGTGGTGGGTGTCGTGGGTGTGTGTGTGTGGTGGTGGGTGTCGGTTGTGTGGTGGTGGTGGTGTCGTGTGTGTGTGTGGTGGGTGTCGGTTGTGTGTGTGTGGTGGGTGTCGGTGTGTGTGTGTGGTGGTGGTGTCGGTTGTGTGTGTGTGGTGGGTGGGTGGTGGGTGTCGTGGGGGTGTGTGTGGTGGTGGTGGGTGTCGGTTGTGTGTGTGTGGTGGTGGGTGTCGGTTGTGTGTGTGTGGTGGGTGGGTGGTGGGTGTCGTGTGTGTGTGGTGGTGGGTGTCGTGGGGGTGTGTGTGGTGGTGGTGGGTGTCGGTTGTGTGTGTGTGGTGGTGGGTGGTGGGTGTCGTGTGTGTGTGTGGTGGGTGTCGTGGGTGTGTGTGTGTGTGGTGGTGGGTGTCGTGTGTGTGTGTGGTGGGTGTCGTGGGTGTGTGTGTGTGTGGTGGTGGGTGTCGTGGGTGTGTGTGTGTGGTGGTGGGTGTCGGTTGTGGTGGTGGGTGGTGGGTGTCGTGTGTGTGTGTGGTGGGTGTCGTGGGTGTGTGTGTGTGGTGGTGGGTGTCGGTTGTGTGGTGGGTGGTGGGTGTCGTGTGTGTGTGTGGTGGGTGTCGTGGGTGTGTGTGTGTGGTGGTGGGTGTCGGTTGTGTGGTGGGTGGTGGGTGTCGTGTGTGTGTGTGGTGGGTGTCGGTTGTGTGTGTGTGGTGGGTGTCGGTTGTGTGTGTGTGGTGGTGGGTGTCGGTTGTGTGTGTGTGGTGGGTGGGTGGTGGGTGTCGTGTGTGTGTGGTGGTGGGTGTCGTGGGGGGTGTGTGTGGTGGTGGTGGGTGTCGGTTGTGTGTGTGTGGTGGTGGGTGTCGGTTGTGTGTGTGTGGTGGGTGGGTGGTGGGTGTCGTGTGTGTGTGGTGGTGGGTGTCGTGGGGGTGTGTGTGGTGGTGGTGGGTGTCGGTTGTGTGTGTGGTGGGTGTCGTGGGGGTGTGTGTGGTGGTGGTGGGTGTCGGTTGTGTGTGTGTGGTGGGTGGGTGGTGGGTGTCGTGTGTGTGTGTGGTGGGTGTCGTGGGTGTGTGTGTGTGTGTGGTGGTGGGTGTCGGTTGTGTGGTGGGTGGTGGGTGTCGTGTGTGTGTGTGTGGTGGGTGTCGGTTGTGTGTGTGTGGTGGGTGTTGTGGTGTATGTATGTGGTGGTGGGTGTCGGGTGTGTGTGGTGTGGGTGGGTGTCGTTGTGTGTGTGTGGTGGGTGGGTGTCGGTTGTGTGTGTGGTGGTGGGTGGTGGGTGTCGTGTGTGTGTGGTGGTGGGTGTCGTGGGGGGTGTGTGGTGGTGGTGGGTGTCGGTTGTGTGTGTGTGGTGGTGGGTGGTGGGTGTCGTGTGTGGTGGTGGGTGTCGTGGTGTGTGTGTGTGGTGGTGGGTGTCGTGTGTGTGTGTGGTGGGTGTCGTGGGTGTGTGTGTGTGTGGTGGTGGGTGTCGTGGGTGTGTGTGTGTGGTGGTGGGTGTCGGTTGTGTGGTGGGTGGTGGTGTCGTGTGTGTGTGTGGTGGGTGTCGTGGGTGTGTGTGTGTGGTGGTGGGTGTCGGTTGTGTGTGGTGGGTGGTGGTGTCGTGTGTGTGTGGTGGTGTCGGTTGTGTGTGTGTGGTGGGTGTCGGTTGTGTGTGTGTGGTGGGTGGGTGGTGGGTGTCGTGTGTGTGTGTGGTGTGTGTTGTGGTGTGTGTGTGTGTGGTGTGTGTTGTGGTGTGTGTGTGTGGTGGTGGGTGTCGGTTGTGTGTGTGTGTTGGGTGGGTGGTGGGTGTCGTGTGTGTGTGGTGGGTGGGTGGTGGGTGTCGTGTGTGGTGTGTGGTGGGTGTTGTGTGTGTGGTGGGTGTTGTGGTGTGTGTATGTGGTGGTGGGTGTCGGTTGTGTGTGTGTGGTGGGTGGGTGGTGGGTGTCGTGTGTGTGTGGTGGGTGTTGTGTGTGTGTGGTGGGTGTTGTTGTGTGTGTGTGTGGTGGGTGTTGTGGTGTGTGTGGTGGGTGTTGTTGTGTGTATGGGTGGGTGTTGTGTGTGTATGGGTGGTGGGTGTTGTGTGTGCGTGTGGTGGGTGTGTGGGTGGTGGTGGTGGGTGTTGTGTGTATGTGGTGGGTGTGTGTGTGTGTAGTGGTGGGTGTTGTTGTGGGTGTGGTGGTGTGTGGTGGGTGTGTGTGGTGGGTGGGTGTGTGTGTGGTGGTGGGTGTTGTGTGTGTGTGGTGGGTGGTGTGTGTTTTGGGTTGGTGTGGGTGTGTGTGTGGTGGGTGTGTGGTGGGCGTTGTGTGGTGGTGTGTGGGTGGTGGTGTTGTTGTGTGTGTGGTGGTGGTGGGTGGTGTGTGTTGGTGGGTGTGTCGTGTTGGGTGGTGGGTGTGTGTGTGTGGTGGTGGGTGGTGGTGGTGTGTGTGTGTGGTGGGTGGTTGTGTGTGTGTTGTGGTGTGTGTGGTGGTGGGTGTGTGTGTGTTGTGTGTGTGGTGGTGGTGGGTGTTGTGTGTGTGTTTGGTGGGTGTTATTTGTGGTGGTGAGTGGTGGTGGGTGTGGGTTGTGTGTGTGTGGTGGTGGGTGGTGGTGGGGTGTGTGTGTGGTGGGTGGTTGTGTGTGTGTGGAGTGTGTGGTGGTTGGTTGTGTGTGTGTTGTGGTGTGTGTGGTGGTGGGTGTGTGTGTGTGGTGGGTGTTGTGTGTGTGGTGGTGGTGGGTGTCGGTTGTGTGTGTGATGTGTGTGGTGGTGTGTGGTGGTGGGTGCTGTGTGTGTGGTGGTGGGTGGTTGTGTGTGTGTGGTGGTGTGTGTGGTGTGTAGTGGTGGGTGGTTGTGTGTGTGTGTGGTGTGTGGTGGTGGGTGTGTGTGTGGTGGTAGGTGTTGTATGTGTGGTAGTGGGTGGTTGTGTGTGGTGTAGGGGTGGTGTGGGGGTGGTGTTGGGGTGGTGGGTAGTTGTGTGTGTGTGGTGGTGGTGGGTGTTGTGGTGGTGGTGGGTGTTGTGGTGGGTGGTGGGTGTGTGGTGGTGGGAGTCGGTTGTGTGTGATGGTGTGTGTGGTTGTGAGTGTTGTGGTGTGTGTGTGTGGTGGGTGTTGTGTGTGTGTGGTGGTGGGTGGTGGTGGGTGTCGGTTGTGTGTGTGTGGTGGTGTGTGGTGGGTGTGGGTGTTGTGGTGTGGGTGTTGTGGTGTGTGTGGTGGTGTGTGGTGTGTGTGGTGGTGGGTGTCGGTTGTGTGTGTGTGGTGGGTTGTGGTGTTGTTTGGTGGTGGGTGGTGGTGGGTGGTGGTGGGTGGTGTGTGGTTGCGTGTGTGTGGTGGGTGTTGTGTGTGTATGGTGGTGTGTGGTGGTGGTGTGTGTGTGTGTGGTGGTGGGGGTGTGATGGTGGGTGTTGTTGTGGTGTGTGTGTGTGGTGGGTGTGTGTTGATGGAGTTGTATGTGTGGGTGCATGAGGGTGGTCAGGGGCTGGGTGTGCGGGTGTTGGTAGGTAGGTATGTGGGTGTGTGTCTGCGTGTGTGTGTGTCTGTGTGCGTGTGTGTAGGGTGTCTGTGTCTCTGTGTGTCTCTGTATGTCTGTGTGTGGGGAAGCGGTAGTGTAGAGGTTCGCGCACTGCGCTACAAACCCGGCGACCCGGGTTCGATTCCCGCTCACGGCCAACACCAGTGACGATTATCTGAACCGGTCCTGGGCCTCCCCTAGGTCGACTCAGCCTAAAATGAGTACCTGGTGTGGTGTGTAGTAAACATCGCCACTAGGAAGACAAAGGCTGTCGGGCGTGGTGCTGGCCACCCACCCCCTCGTGTGCCGTGCCGGCCCTAATAGGTGCTCGCTAACAGCACTTGCCCCTACAGCCTTTTAAGGCTAAACGGGGGGTCTTTGTGTGTGTGTAGGGGTGAGTGGCTGAGTATGAGTCTGTGTGCATGAGCTGGTAGGGGGTTGTGTGTGTGTGTGGGAGTGTGTGGTAGGTGCTAGCTAACCCCACTTGCCCCAAACAATCTTTAACGAGGCTATATGGGGGGACTTTGCGTCTTATTTTAGGCATTGTGTGTGTACAGCTGAGTCGGGGGCGTGGGTGTAAGCACGTGGGAAGCTGTGGGGGGTGGTTCGAGTTGGTGTGTGAAGGCGGGTGGGTGTGAGTGGTCGTCCTCGACTTACGATGGAGATGCGTTCCGACGACCCCATCGTAAGTCAAAAATGTCGTAAGTCGAAGATGGCCTACCCAGGAGTCTTAAAGAATTGTGATAATTTAGCAAAAACAGAGCAATTTACAATACCGTACTGTATAAACTATATACTGTGTGTAATATTAATTACAATACTGTATTGCACAGTAAAATGTAAAGTAAAAAAAACCAAGGTAAATTCTTAGCCTACCTATATGAACTGCAATTTAGTAGAAAGTTTTTTCAGGAAACAATCCTATCTGCTATAAACACTTTTAACATTAATTTCGTCGATATCGCCATCGTAAGATCGAATAAATCGTAAGTCGAACCGTCGTAACTCGGGGACTGTTTTCCTACGCACATTCAACTCGGCCAACAGCAGTGACGGTTATCTGAGCCGGTCGTGGGCCTGCCCTAGATCGACTCGGCCTCAAATGAGTACCTGGTCCAGTGTGCATACATCGCCACGAGGGATACAAAGGCGGCCGGGCGAGGTACTGGCACACACTCAGACGGGGGGGGGGGGGTGATCTTTGTCTCTGTAAGAGTGGGTGGATGGCGATGGGACGCTGGCTGTCTTAGTGATTGATGGCTTTAGGGGCCGTCCATAAATGACGTCACGCACCTAGGGGGGGGGGGGTCAGACATTTGTGACGATGTGTGACGAGGGGGGGGGGGGGGTGAGAAATGTGACGTCACATCAAAATGCGCAACTTTAAATAAAAATAGACAACACGTTCTACTTAATTAAATATACTTTTTACTAAATGTTTTCTCTTACAACATTAGAGTGCAGCGGCACATTAAATACGCACTACAATCACAATAGTTTAAAGCGATTTGAAGCATGTTTAATTTGGGGGGGGGGGGGGCAGAGTTTTGTGACGTCATATTTGACTTTTTGTGACGTCGTGTGACGAAGGGAGGGGGGGTCAAAAATCCTCCAAAATCGCGTGACGTCATTTATGGACTGCCCCTTAGGACAGGACTCGGCAGCCATTTGTTTTTGTCTTTGGTCAAAACAGTTTGAGAGCCGCATCGCACGTGTTGTACACAAACACAATACAGTTGGACTGCTGTACATGGTGTCACCAAGACATTCCATATTGACCAAAAATGCCTGTCATATTTTATACATTGCTTATCCTTTGCATTAAATTGTGTTTAAAGATTTAAAGTTTGTTTTTTAAACGACTGCCCGCAAGAGGGCACCTAAAGAGCCGTGCTCAGCAGCAGCAGCCCCTGGTTGCAAACCCATGATTTTAGGAGTTTGGGTGACTGGTTGTGTGGACGTGGTGAGTGGAGATATGCCTTGGTGTGTGAGTGTCTGGGTTAATACATTTGTTTCTGGGTCGGATCAATATGCCATCGTGGCCAAAGCCACTGGTGTCACCTGTAGGTTAGAGGTGGTATTTTGTGGGTCTGGTTGGGTGCAAGTGTCGGTGGATAGGTGTGGCCAAGTGCGTGTATGACTGAGTGCCTGAGATATTAAGGGGCTGGCTGGACGTGGATTCGGCAGGAATGAAGGTGGGGGTGGGTGTGTATATGCCTTGGTGTATAGGTGGGTGGCTGGGTGGGTGGCTGGGTGGGTGGCTAAGTGTTGATATGCTTTGGTGTATGAGTGGGTGGCTGGGTGGCTGGGTGTGGATATGCCTTTGCCTTGGTCATGCCGTGGTCTTGTGGGGAGCGGTGGCGTTTTGGTCGGCACATGCTACGGACATGGGCACCCTTAGTTTGATCCCACTTGCCACATCAATGGCAAGTGGTATCTGAATTGTTCCGCAGCCTCCCCAAGGTTGACTCAGCCTTAAACCAGCACTGGGGAATTTTTTTTTAACTCAGGCGTTGGGCTAACCACACCACCTCCAGGTACACTATCCCAGCCTCTCAGTAAGTGTTCATTAACCGCACTTTCCACAATAGTCTATAAGATAAAACAGGAATACCGCATTTGGCTTGGTATATGAGTAGGTTGCTGGGATTATATTTGTGAATGGGTGGGTGTGGATGTGGGTATCCATATATGTGTGTGAGTGGTTGTGGGTATGTATATATGAATGAATGGGTGTTGGTGGTATGGGCATATCTGTATGTGTGAATTTATGGATGATTGTGGGTATGTCTTTGTGAATGAATTAATGTGGAGTGGAATGAATGTGAATGTGTCTTTGTGAATGAATGGATATGGTGTGGTGTGGGTGGTTGTGGCTATGTCTTTGCGAATGAATGTGGTGTGGAATGATTGTGACTTTGTCAATGAATGGATGTGGTGTGGGTGGTTGTGGGTATGTCTTTGTGAATGAATGTGGTGTGGAATTATTGTGAATGTGTCTTTGTGAATGAATGGACGAGGTTGTGGGTACGTCTCGGTGCGTGACTGGGTGGCTCATGGTTGCGTGTGTAAATCTACCTGGGATGTACGCGTGGCTCGGCTGGGCAGAGAGAGAGAGAGGCAGATGGAGATTGCGGTTCGCGTGGTGTAGCGGTGGATTACACTGAACGTACCGCTGGAATTGTTGGTTGCAGTGTGAGAAAATCGAGTGACCTTTCTGTCTAAAATCGATCACGAATAAGATGCACCCCCGTTCAAGCCGGCCTGGGTAAAGCGGTCGATACTCCAGCGGAGGAACTGTGGGAACGCACAGTCAGCATGGCTCCTCCGATCCTCCTGTGCACGCTACACACGCAGCATACTCCACGAGGCGGGTGCATCAACAACATCATACACGAGCCGAGATCCCGTCCAAGGACGCCTGTATATTGCAGTTAATCTGACACATTCAAGCGAAAATAATGACCCGCTCATGATTATTAATGAGGGGGGTTGGGAGTCCATATGAGTGACGTCATCAGCTCATGATTATTGATTATGGGGGGAGGAGCTCCATGTGGAGTGACGTCACCCGCTCATGATTATTAATGAGGGGGTGCGTCACGTCATCCGCTCATGATTATTAATGAGGGGGGGGGGTGCTTCATGTGGAGTGACGTCACCCGCTCATGATTATTAATGAGGGGGGGCTCATGTGGAGTGACGTCACGCGCGGGACACATTCTTGGTTTATTATATTAGTAACTAGCTTTTTTTGGCCGTCCAATGACGGGTGTATATTGCAGTAAATCTGAAATATTAATTAGAAAAATTGTTCAGCTCATGATTATTAATGAGGAGGGGGGGGTTGCCCCATGTGGAGTGACGTCACCCGCTCATGATTATTAATGAGGGGAGGGGTGCGGCATGTGGAGTGACGTCACCCGCTCATGATTATTAATGAGGGGAGGGGTGCGGCATGTGGAGTGACGTCACCCGCTCATGATTATTAATGAGGGGAGGGGCGCTTCATGTGGAGTGACGTCACCCGCTCATGATTATTAATGAGGGGGGGGGTGCTTCATGTGGAGTGACGTCACCCGCTCATGGTTATTAATGAGGGGGGGGGTTGCCCCATGTGGAGTGACGTCACCCGCTCATGATTATTAATGAGGGGAGGGGTGCGGCATGTGGAGTGACGTCACCCGCTCATGATTATTAATGAGGAGGGGGGGTGCCCCATGTGGAGTGACGTCACCCGCTCATGATTATTAATGAGGGGGGGGTGCGGCATGTGGCGTGCGCGACCTTGTTGTGCGTGAGTGTAAATTTCCACACGGGCATGAATATTAATGAAGGGGGGCTCTTTTTCAGTGACGTCACGCACGAATGTATCACTGTGCTGCGTAGATTAATTTTTTACCGTCACTTTCTGTAAAGAAACGTCAAATTTGAAGCGACTTTGCCCAATAAATTATTTAATTTTGCTCGACCTTCCTCTGCGTTTGTGTTAAAATCCACCCATCATGAATATTAATGAGTGGGGTGGGCCTAATGTGGAGTGACGTCACGCGCGGGACGGACAGACATTCTTGGCTCGTTATAGTAGTAATCCTCCCCTCTACGCTGCTGCTGTTGCTGCGTCTCCCTCCACCCACCCACACACACGCGTGTGTGTGAGCGCCCCCACGTGTGTATATCAAACGCTGCTTGTGCGCTGGTGGCCGGCCTTGAGAGACGTCACATCGATCTGGCCAGCAACCTCTTCCGCGTGGCAGCGCCTCCTTCATCCAGCGCAGCAGAATTCGGCTGTTTGTCCCGAGTGCTACCCCCCCCCCCACCAACAATCCCAAAAATAGCAGCATTGTGCTGAAAAATAGTCTTAAGAATCAATTCGGTGTTTTTGTTAAATAAATGAAAGGACGTTGCAATGATGGTAAACCCTTAGTGGCCAATTATTTCTGCCTTGGGCATAGATTACCATAATCAGCAGCAGCCGTTATCTATCCGTTGCTGCATGTAGGGCTCCCTAAGCCATCGTCATCTCTCACCGCAGTGTTGCGGTGCGACAATTTATCGAGCTCCGATTTCGTTTCTCCATTTTACTCCGGGGCATGCTTCCTGCTTGGGTTGAGGTTATAACATCGGTGTAAGGTTGGGGGAGTAGTGGGAGTTCAACCGTGGTTTTGCACTGCAAGGATTCATTTCTGCCAAGGAAGTGATATTTTTACCATTTGGCACCAACAGAGATGAACACTGTTGGCTCGCTAATTTTTCTGAGAATGGAATTCCTTTTTTTTTTTCAAATCTACAATATTTTTTTTACTAGATTATATAACTTATTATACTGTGGGTTTTTTTCAGGGCCAGTGGTCTTAAGAAGATTAGCTTAACATGTAAAACATGTATTTTACTCTAAATCTGTCCACATCGAGGGAATTATAATGTAATGTCACCGTATCTCGTTGGATAGCTTAATTTAGATTGGCTTCAGGGCGAACAGCATTCCAGAAGTGTCATACACTGTTCCCAGGAATATTATACCTGAACATATAAAATATCCTCCATTATAAATAAATATACTGATCCTGATACCTGCCCCCTTTTGCCATTTTGCCTGTTTGTATGCCATGTGTGTGCCAGGCTGGTGCATTCAGTTCTTGTCTGGGGGCACTCGATTCAAGCTCCAGTCACTTGGAGGCCCTTCCAGCCAGCCCTGCCTGCTGCTATTAAAAAGATACAAAACCTCGACACGCAAACGCCCTTGTGGTCAATGCCAACGGGTTGGGTGTGGGGCCGCGGTCTGGGGGTTCACTGGAAGTTGAAACAAATAAAACACGAATCATGGCATCGGTGTGGAACGGAGCAGTACAATTTCGTTCACGTATTGCAAATTGTGACATTTGCAAAAAAAACGAACCCGATTACAGATGCGCGTCTGCTCACGAGCTGCGAAACAGCCACGGGGAGCGAGCCTTTCACAGGGTTCCATCTATTTGAGCCCCATGAGCCCATCTGTTGTTTGTAGAACATCTCCACCTCTGTACGTCTCTATCAGCAGGCATGGTTTTGCGCACTTGAAGCCAAGTTGGTGATTAACAGCAGGGAGGCTTTTTAACAGTTGTTAAGAGGCACAGCCAAGGTGTCCTTGTTTGGGTCGCAGCACTGCTAAAGTCTGCGTAAATATCATTCCCCATGCGCATTGCGCCTGCTTTGCATTTTAATTGACCTGCCGTGAGTTGCTATGAAGCTGCACCCAGTGTTGATATTTCACATTGAGACAGGATCGCACCCTGGGTTTCTTGTAAGAAAAATTGGGAAAATGTCCGCTTAGTTGAATTCTTCCTCCCACACACCGCAAAAGAAGGTGCAGTCGGCGGTGTGGTGAGTAGAGGGCTATCGAACAAAATCCATCGTTCTGCATTCCACCTTGGTCAAAGTATAGTCGAAGAAGCCTCACTTTGCATTAACAAAGGAGCTGTAAATGTGCACGAGAAAACGGTATTTACAAATGGCAATATATTCCCACATTTGCCATTCAAGTATGCATATACAAACTGATAAATCATATCTTGATTTGAAGTTTTAGTGACTGCAGCAATCCATATTCTTTGGTTCTTTCGGTAAAGTCAGTAAGGTAGAAAAATAAAATAAAAAAATATGATAAATCATAGCCAGTTTAACACGTAGGCTTTCGCGACCAATGTTATTCATAATCAACGTTTTTGGGTTTAGATCGCGTTATTTATAAATGTGTCGTAACCCTCCACCACCCGACACGGCCAATCAGTAAAAAAGTGTCACGTTGACAAAAGACAAATAGTTCACTGCTTTAGCCCACCGGTGTGTTGAAGCCACAACATTTACAATTTGAGTACGACGTTTCGCTGGTTATTGCATCCAGCATCATCGGGCAATTCGCCAGAATGGTGAGGCTCTGCTGTGTCTCAGCACAGCCAATTGGAAAGAAATCGATTTTTTGCTTTACAATGAAACAAAACAAATGTACTATTTTAATAATCATTAACATACAGTATGTTAATGAAGAACGTGTATGCGAAATGTGTTCTCTTGTGTTATGTTATTGATTAATGAGGTTCGGTGACATTACCGTAATTTAATTGTGCACGTTGCCTCTAATTTCGAAACAACCTGCACTTTGCCTTTTTTTTACACAACTGATAATCAAACCTTCCAAGTCCAGATTAGCATGGTTAACCTTTAACGTAAACGCTCCAAATGACACTGTTGAAGTCAGAGACAATGATTGCAAGCACTAAATTCAAATTCCCCAGCTCCATGGAATAGAAGGAACAAAGAGGTAATGATTTTAAAAATGCAACTACTGTATTGTATTGTAAACTCATCCTGTCTATTCTAATATATAACACCAAATACATGCACTGGAATCGTTTACGTCCTTGTGGAGAGTATAAGTAACAAAAAGAACAAACAAAAGGACACTTTCACATATCTCCCTCCACAATAAAAAAAATATACTGGATCCTTAACATATATATTTGATACACCTCATCAGCCACATGGCCTTCTGGGAGTGTTTTTTTCAGCAGGTCACCAGCATTGACGAAAGCAAGCCTGACTGCTGACGAGACACTGCATGTTGAAACCGGCTCAGAGTTTGCTTTCGTTAAAGCAATGCTGCTGAAAAAAGGCACTCGCAGAAGGACACTCAGTGGCTGATTGGGTGAGTAAAAAAATAACCTTTAACGTTTTGGGGGAAGGGAGAGATATAAGAAGAAGCTTTATTGTCTGATTCTTTGTTTCTGTCAATCTAAAGCTTGCAGGTGGACAAGCCCACATGCGATTTTCGTGCGAGCACAAAACTGCAAAGAAAACGTACAGAAGACTCCAGATCTGTTCTCCAGTTTTTGTTATGATGGACCGTTGGTGTCGTAGTCCCCGTCAGCCCAAGATACAAACAGATTTAACAACACACAAGGATCTACAATGCTCTGAGCTTCATCGAGACTCACCATCTCAAACTAACCAAATTTGTGGCCATTTGATCGTTGAGATCACAATCTCAGAGTTGAGAAATTGTCACCGGCAGCAAGCGGCATTGAAACAGAGACGACGGTAGCCATGGTTTTCGTCCTTATCGGGACTCATTGGCACAGCACGGTCATCAATGTTTACGGCTGCTACGTGTCTCTGGGAAACTCGTACGTGCAGAGGGGACTTGCAGCTGTACGCTACGAGGACCCCGTCAGCGTTTTAGCCTGAAGGCAACAGTGCAGACCTGATGACAAGCTAAGTTAACACAAACATGTGTAATGTGTCGACAAAAACTCAGCCTAATCCGGACCACATAAGGAGCCGTCCACAAATGAC